GGTTTAGTGTTAATAGTCAGCGTGCAATAACCAGTATATAGTCTGTTACATAGTAATATATATATATATATATATAAACTCGGTTTCGTGTATTTTAATAAATCAACGCACCGCGTTGATTTCCACAAAATTTCCGTAAATTTGTCAGCTATTTACAAAAAAAGAAAAAACCGTTTAATTGGCAAAAATGTAATTTTCAAATCATTCACTCTAATCGTCGAACCAAATACACCATTTCCAATAAACAAATTTCTCAATCGTCGTTAATTTTCAGTCTAACACTAGCACCACGCCAAAACCAAGCCTGCTCGCCTGGTTTTTCACGCCATTGACTCAGACTCTTCAAATCAATCCTCAGACCCTGCAGAACCGTGTTACCCAGCTCAAGGAAGCACTGAGTAACCTTGGATTTCGAAATCCCAACGAAATTTCGAAAGGGAAGCAGCTAAACAACGCAAACAATTTACTACAAGTCACGAGCGTGACCGATTCTGGATTCTATACCGACAGACTGGAGCCAGCTGGATTTTTCGGTGGAAATGGTTGGCTGGCGAACAAGGGTGGAATCTTAGGCGGACCAGGAGCGATTCTTTCGACTGGTAGTCTCCTCACGGACTATCCAACAGCGTATAAAAAGAAATAGACAAATTTTCTAAGAAATTGTTGAACTAGCACGTAAGAAAGGAAAGATTGTTTTATCCTTTGTTTTCGACGGGAATTTTTTTTTTTATTTTATTTCAATATATCATTACGAAAATAAAGTCTTCATAATAATCACTATTTCCCAAATTTTTATTTAGAGTAAATAGCGAGTCTTTCTTTTATAAGTAAATGAAAGAGAGAGAGAAAGAGAGTTAAAGGGAAAGATTAACTGAAACTTCCATCTAAACGAGAGGAATAAACTAACAATAAGTAAATAATTCTGATGGAACATCGGATGGAGCACCGGAGAAAAAAGTGGAAATTCCTTCGATAACACCGTACCGTAATTCGATGATAGAAATTGTGGAGAAAACTTTCTATAAATGAGCTAAATAAGTTTTCCAGAAACAACTCTTCTTCGGCAACATCCAGTTTCTTTTGTATGCCAATAATTTTTGATATTATTATTTAATAGTCACATCAATCTCTATAATCTAAGTTATTATTATATTGGGAGGAGATTGTTTTACAATTTTTGAGAAGATCGATTTATACATGTTATTATATGGAGTAACAAAAAGTATATATGCAAACATATATAAAATAAAGTATATATTCTTATTTTCTAATAAAGTATGCTTATTATCAGACTCTACGTTCCATCTTCGTAATAAGTAATAAATACAAAAAGACTTGTCAATACTTCTTGTAACCACTGTAACAGATTATATAACAGTGCAAATAAAATTTAAGTGTTGCATTTAACACTAAACGTACATTTTACATATACTTATCTTACCATAAGGGGTCATTTGACCCCTTATGAATAAACGTTGATTTTTACAAAAGAAATTCTTAATTTATCAAAGGAAATAATTTGCAACATAACTTCTGATTTCTAGTAAAATACTCAAGCATGTATTTTTATTTAAAATAAATTTTTATAAGAGGCCATTTGAATTACGCTTGGTACGTTTAGGTGTCAACACACGTAAAATATTCGTAAAAGGTGTCTTACAAAAGTTTAAACACTTTCGTATCAATCATGTGTTGTGGTTTCAATTAATTATCAAAGAAATCACAAATCGAGACAACAAACGAATTAGAAGGAAATAAAATTTCACGTTGCTTATTAGCATTTAAATTTTATCCTTTTTCAAAGTTCAAAAAAAGGGATATAACAAACTGAAGTTTCTTTTACATGTGTATGTATTAAGCAGCGTGTTCTTAGGGTGGGGGAAACGCGCGAAGTGGGGATAGAGCAAAGCGATTCTCACTTCGGAGCGGCAGTCGAGGCTCGTCCATTGACGGAGTAACGTTTGTTACGGTGATCGTTGATACAAAAAACACGACAAAAGAAAGTGTGCGACTAATAACCGTAACACAACCGAAACAAAACGTAACTCAACTCGATCATAATTACGCTCTGTATAAACCGATACTTTGACGTTTCTGTGATATTACGTTTTAACTGGAAGTTTCTCCGCGACCGCGTCCGCGTGTGTTCGTTCGTGTGACGTTTCGTTGCAACGCAGACTTCGATTGATCGACCGTGCTTTTTGAACGTGATTCGCTTTCTTTTGGCCAATGAAGGAGACTCTTCGATGAGAGAAGGAGGGATTGGCTTCGTTGGTCCAGTGGAAAGAAGGATAAAAGGAAAACTGTGTGCGCGACTCCGAAGTGTAT